GTTGCTCTTGATGCTGCTGCTGTTTTGGTGCCTCAGATGTTGCCTTGTGCGCAATATCGGCCCCAACCTTCCAAGTGCACAGCTGTAATAGCAGTTCAGTGTCTGCACGGCTCAAGGGTTCAGGGGGGTGTCATGAATCGAGGGTTGGGTGGTTTCATATATTTTCTTGGATAGTCCATGGTCTATGGCCGATTTGAACGTGCACGTGCCGCCTCTCTCCTTCGCGTTTCAATACACAACAGCAGAGTGTGTAGGTTACCCCGATTAGTAGGCTGCTGGCACCGCGAGCGACGTGCCGACAATCAAGATGATGCTCAAGGGAAAACCGAAAACGTCATTATCTAACCTGTTCGTTGTTGTGTCCCGGAACCTGTTCGTCATTTCGGAACGCGCATACGGGTCCGTCAATATTCGCAGACACTCAACGGATCGTCGTGCCTTCCTCGATGTATCGTATATGACGGTGTATATAAGACCCCCTCGGGGCGTAGCTTCAGAGCCCGTATTGCTGCCGACGGGAGCAAAGGCGCCGGTGCCGAGCAAGAGCGGCATCGGAAAAATGAAAACTTGGAGAGTATCCATCGTTCGGTATTTGCACCCTCCTCGTGGTATCTAGAGCCATCGAGCTTTTGTTACATCGGCCCCGAGGGGGGTCTGATATCCACCGTTCCGTCCCGTCCCGTCAAACTTGGCGGTGTGGTTATCGCCGTCGCCGGAAACGAGGGTGGTTGTGTCTCCCCTCTACTTGGGAGCCTTTGTCCACGTCCCCCCCGTTTTTTTTTTCGTTTGTTGCCTGCTTCATTTGTTGCCTTGAAGAGGACAGGGTGTTGTTTGTTTCTCGCATTTTTTGTTCCTTCTCGCGTGTGCCCGCGCGCGTCGTGCTTGTGATGCAGATCTGGCGCATGTACCGAGCCCTGCGCGACGACAACATCCCGTTCGTGTCGTTTCCGCTCTCCCAAGACAAGAGCGCGTTCTACTCACACCGACAGGTACGTCGGTATGCACATGGCGGCGGCGTTAGCAAGTGGTCCTTCACACGCCTTGCTCAAGTTGGATGCGGCCAGCCAGCCATTAATATATTGCTACACACGACGTGCACGGCGATCGTGAGGGCGTGTTTTTTTCTTCGGGAGGGGACATCATGTACCCCTCCCCCCCCTGATCCATTTGGGATGTGCTGTGTCCATCCATGCCCGTCAATTCTTACCCCTGCACGCACCCCACTCTGTGCGCTGCTACTGTTTGCCTCGCTCTTACCTCCTTGTGCAGGCCATGTCTGGACCGGCTATCCCCGGGCGGTTCAGCTTCCGGTTCTCTCGGCAGCCGTCTTGCATTACGGTGGACTACACTGTTCAAGCTAGGGCGGTTGAGGGGAGGCCTCAGGTATGTAACGCACTTGAAAAGTGGAGAGGAACCTATTTGGCTGTGTGTGGTAAGCGTGGATGGGTTGTTGCGGCCCTCCTGGTTGTCGCTGTTGTTGTCGCTGTTGTTGTTGCTGTTGTTGCTGTTGTTGCTGTTGTTGCCTCTGTTACTGTTGGTGTGGGGAGGGAGAACGGGGTCATGGACGATGGGGGGGGGCGAGGCCACGGTGTTTGTGTGGGTGCCCTGCGGGTTCGTTTCAGCGGAAATGAACTTTCATGTTTTGCTCTCGCATTTTTGGGGCACAAATTCCGATTGCAGCAGCTGCTGTGGTTTGCATCTGTGGGCACTGTCTTAGCCCTCTCGCGTGTGCCATCTGTCTATCCCACCGCTCTGTTTGTTTTCCTCCTCCCGGGTGGTCAAGCACCCTCGAGGCAGTTATACAGTGCTTACAACTGTCTCTGGAAGTGAAAGCACCAGAAAGTAAGTTAAGTCATACGCAGCTGTCATCCATAATACGCAAGGAAGTAAGCACAAGATGCCGAACACCCTTAGCAGGATGCAGCGCACCCTTCATGCGACTCGCCGAATATCTCACGGCGCTTCGCGCTTGNNNCCCCCCCCCCCCCCTCCCCCGGGTGACGTCTCGTGCGTAACGCCAAAACACACGCAGGCGACGGTGATGAGCTACCGCATCAAGATCAGCGCCATCGACGTCAGGGTAAGCGGAAGTCATCCATCCTCCCTATTATCACCCACCGCCCAGCAGCCAAGCTGGTACCAACATCGTGCTTGTGATACAAGTCTGCCTGCGGTTTTGTCTCTTGTGTAGGGGGCTTGGGAGCAGCCAAGCCGAGCCCACGTACTTGGTTTCCCGGGGGCGGGGGGGTTTACTTGCCGGGGTTTTATGCATAGAATGTTCGTTTTTTCTGCATTGGCACAGAAACGGCTGGAATTTGTGCCTTAGTGGATACCGCGTGTTCTATGGGAAGGCCAGGGCAATATCCCGGGGCGAGCAATGCGCCGAAGGCACCCTTGTGTTGCCCATCAGATGACCGGTCTTCCGATGATGACAACCCCGGCATGAGGAAGCAGGAAAGGGCGCGCCTAGACTTGCGGCCGATTGCATACCCGAGCACCAACCATGTAAAGCTCAACCTCGCCCTCTCCCTTTCGTTACCCTGCCCCTGTCGTTGGCGGCGCCAAACATAACGGGCGTGACATCCCCGCACGCGTGCCCCCGTTTCTTTCCGTGCAACAAGACAACTTGATACCCATTTGGAGTTCATGGTGAGTTATGTAGTTGATTATCTGACCCCATGTCTCCCTCTTTTCTTGCAGGGGGTGATGCTGCGCATCGAGAATCTGCTCCTCCGCGGGGACGAACAAGTCGCCCAAGGCCGAGTCCTCGAGGAAACCTCTCTCGTCCAGGGACCGGTGGAGAACGGCGGGGGAGGGGGGGGCAGCGGCGGCGGCGGCGAGGGCGGGGGAGTCGGAACGTCGGCCTCCTCTGGTTCGCAGAACGGGGCCCAGCACGAGCCTGGGCTTGGTCCTCTAGGTGCGATGGCGGCGCGATGTTTATAGATTGGCTGGTGTTTGCGGTGATATAGTACGAGTAGAAGGGGTTGTCCCCAATGGCTGGAGTACATGCGTCCCTCCTACCCCCGTCCTCCTTGCAGCCCCCCCATACACTCATCAGCTCTAGGGGACAGCATGCTCGGCGTCGTCCCTGGTGGCCGATTCCAATATTTTGTCAGCGTTTCTGCCGGTAGGCGTAAGGCTATCGTTTTCCTCGCCCACACGGTGCTCATCTATAATATCGTGTGGTCGTGTGTGCCACGGGGACCGCGACCCCTCCGCAGGAAGCCTAGAGCGCGTTATCGCCCAAGTGGACATGGAGGAGAGCGGCGACAGCGGCGCCTGCGTCAGCCGACAAGAGCACGCGAGGCCGCCGGTCGACGGCGGGTACCCCAACTCAAGGGGAGGCAGCGCCGGCAGCGGCGCCGGCGCCGGCGGGGGCGGGGGGGGCGGCGGCTCGAGTGCGGGCGGAGGATGGACAGACATGTTCCAGGGCATGACGGTCGAGGTGCGTGGTAAAGAAGAGGGCTAGTCGTTCCTAGGGAAGGTTCGGCTTCGCTCACCCCACGTGTCGCGCCCGTGGCGGTGCGGCGTCGACTCGCTCGGCGGCAAGCTCGTACCACCGTGTGGCGGAGTTGAGTAGCGGTGTAGGCGTGTAGATGTTTTTTTGTCCGCCAATTCTTTGTGCCAGGCCAATTCAGTGTGTTGCGCTTCAGCAGCAGGGCGTTGTTCATGTCTCCGCACCACCGCCGTGCTTGAAAGGGCCCCCCTCCCCCCCCTCCCCCGCTTGTTGTTCGTTTCAGCTCGCCCAGGAGCAGGCCGCGCAGCTCCACCATGGCCAGCAGCAGCGTGGCAGTGGAGGGGGACGAGGGGGCCCCATGGGAAGACCTGGCGATCACCACCACCAGCGCATGGCGGCGGACCACTCCGCCTCCGTCGCCGGCGGCGGGCACCAGGGTGGTCGGCAGGGGCAGAGGGTGGGGGACGGCGGTATGCCAGGGGGGAAAGGGGACCGACGGGGGGGGGCACCGCAGTTTTCCCAGCAGCACGGCGGTGAGTGACGACAGGACCAGGAGTGATAAGGGCGTGGGCGGTAGGTGGTCGTTGTTTACGGGTGCGTTCGGATGTTGGCTGTTGTATTTTCATGCGTTGTGCGTTCTTCTGTGAGTTTTTGGCGTGTTTTTGGAGGGTACGTGAAGCAAACGGGTGGCGCTTGGTACGAAGGGTTTTCGATCGAAGTATCTCGATGGCGGACACGGAGGGTTACTACGAGGAGGGAGGTGAGTGCTACGTGCATGCCTGCTGTGTCTTCTGGCACTACCTCCTGATAACGTGCCTCGAGCGTGATGCTACTTGTGCACGTGTCGGCGAAGGGCGTATTGTTGGTACCTTGAGGCCGCGGGCTCTTGGTGCGGGGCCTGCGACCCATCACCCAGCACGGGGGTTCCGTTTTGTTCCTTGTTCGTCACGCCGACAAGCTCGTCTGCGTGTTGCTCTCTGCCTCAGTGAATGTACAGTGGCGGGCACAGTTTAGCGACCCCTGTTTAGCGGCATGCCCTTTTTAGCGACCACGGAATCGACATGGCGCCACAAGTAGCCGCTGTATGCCACCAGGTTCCCTCTTGACACTGGGGTTGCTAAGCCGGGCCCACCGCTCCTCTTGTCTGCTGGCTGCGAACGAAGGTCCGGGACCCTCGACTTCGTCCTCTTACATGTGCGGTCCTGCGGGGGGGAGGATGTCCGTCCAAACGGTGAGCTTGTTGTTTTGTGACGATCGTCTGTCGTACATGCGCATGCACAGGGAAAGCACGCTTCCGGGAACCTGCGGCTGGTTTCTGTAGTCCAGGCCCAACTTGGAAAGAAGATGAATCTACACGTTGCAACGTTATGTGTGTGTTTATGTGGGACTCCTCCGGCTTTTTCTTCCAGAAAACATACCGAAAGGCGTAGAAACTGGCATCCACGATCAGTGGGACGATCCACACACGGGCCACGCAAAGCAGGGTAAAAGTGTCACAAACATATAATTGCAACTATATACATAATCCTTCCATTTTAGCAAAAAAAACGAAACACGTAACAAGGTTGTTCTAGAACTCCAGCAACGAGTGTGGTATACCTGCTGGTGAACGAACCATGCAACGTTTTTTGAAGCAGCCTCTTTTGTTCTCGCCGCCATGAACTTTTCTTCGCAGTACGTGATGCCGCCGCCGCTGCAGTAGATATGCATACGACCATGTTTTTTTCTAAGCGGGCCGTCAGCAAGCAGTGTATGGCAGGTGGGGCGCGCGGAGGGGGAGGTCTCAAGTTCCCCCGCCTTTGTTCGTACGGAGGTTTGCGAGGAATAGTCTAGGTTTTGTTTGTTCCAATCAACCCGAAGCGCAAGTACAAATATGTGGGTAGCGGGAGCCTCGGAGTTGAAAAACACCCACGATATCTACGAGATGTGTGCATGCATGCTCCATCTCCGCCTCGTCACTGGAAACCCAACCCCCCCGCTTTTGAGCGTCGTTGTAGTGCCCTTCACTGTTACCTGTCCTACCTCTCGATTGCCGCCACCGCAACCGCTGGTGCGTCTCGGCAGGGGGACACGTTGAATTTCTTCGACGACCCTCCCCAGGGCAATCAGGTACAACACCAGCTGCCTGTCGGGGGAGGCGCGGGGCACGGGGGCGCGATGAACCTGGAGTACGTTGAGTTCCCCAATTTCCATGTGGGTATTTCGAGCAACGAGGGCGCTGTGACCCTTTGACGCGTGAACCTCAAAGAGTACATGGAGTTTCCCAATTTCGCAGTCGTCTACGCAGGTTTTTCGAAGCAAGTAAAACATTGTATATAGTATGAAATCGGCAATCCGCCCCGGATGAGTTGCCCATCCCACACTACTTATGTTGACCTTTTTTTTTTGCAATTGCTCGGTGATCACCGCAAGCCCGTTCTTTTTTTTTTGTTTGGTGTCGTTTGACCCTTGACTCGTTGCCGTCCTCCCTCCATAATCCCCGGCATGTCTGCCTGCCGGCCTCTCCCTCGTTACTCCAGGAACTCCTCGTGTTTTTCGGGCGCACCCTGACGGAACGGTACGATACCTCGCGGGAGGAGCAAGAGACCATCCCTTCGCCGATGTACATGCACAACATGGACGAGTGACCTCATCGCGAAGAAGTAGAAGCGCGGTAGAATAATATTTCGTGAGAGCTAAGAGCGCGTTTCGCAGCAGACAAACGGTCTTGATGCTTGGGTTATGCTATGAAACAAGCACTCCGCGCGTTGCTGAGGGCAGTTGGCAGCGGGAGGGGGGAGGGGGGTGGGGGGTGGGGGGTGGGGGTGCACGTGGTGTTGGGAGCGGGAGAGTTTTGACATTGGACGATGACCGGAGCGCGCGCGGGGGGGAGGGGGGGCGGGAGGCAGGGTAACACTGCAAGTAAAGGTGGAAGAGGGGCGACGCCACTTTTGTTTTGTGCCGTAACAGGGTGCGTGTTTGTTTCCTTGTGTAGCGGCCACTAACCAACAGATACGGGTGAGCTTGACCTGGGTGGGTGTATGGGTGGGGGGTGAGGTTTGTCCCCCTCCCCTGCACCACCACCCCCTACCTCCCTGGGGCACGTCGCCTTTTGGTTCCGGACTGCGAACCCCCCGCTCGCCCCACCGTACAGGGTGTGATGCGTTGGTCGGGTTTGTTGATTGCTCGAGTGGCAGGTGGCGTGTTCCTCGTTTACTCTGCGAGAGCCCCTCAGCAAGCACATGGGGAACGTGAGAGGAGGCGAGTCGGGACGAAAAGAAGAACAAATATTTATGAAATGCCACGTCACGCGTCCATAAGAATTCCAAATATGACAGGGTGGGCGGAAGGGCGTGCGTTATGGTGATGGGGGTGAGGTTAATTTTTTTACCAGATTTCTCTTTGTACCCTACGCGATCTGTATGTGTCGGGGGGCGTGAATCTCGTCCGTGCGTGTTCTGGTTTGTGTGCCTTTTGCGGGCGTCCTGCCGTGGTTTTGAAGAGCCAACGACTAGGTTGGTTGGCGAGTAGGGCGAAGACGGTAGCAGTCTTCTCTCTCGTTATCCTTTCTCTTTCCCCTCTCTCTATCTCAGGCGCGGCCGGCCAGACAGAGAGAGAAGAACCCTTTCAGTTCTTCGCGAAGCGTTTTTTGGGGCGGTATACTTTTGTCCCCCGACCTGCAGAATTCTGGTGGCGGCAGAACGGAGCACACACGACTTGTTGTATGTGTGTTATGAGATGGCGGCGTCATGTAAGATCGTGTGCTCCAGCGCTGGTGATTAGACGTTCCTGACTTTACTACCCTCAAACCCATCGCGCCGGGTCGACGTCTCGCTTGCGATCGATTTGGCCGAGAGAGAGTTTTAGTTTTTTCGGGTGCACCAACGTACTGGGCTCTGCTGCTGCTGCTGCTGCTGCTGCTGCTGCTGCTGCTGCTGCTGCTTTGACTTCTGTTAGGTATCCATCCACCGCGTCCCCCTCGTGTTTAAAGCATTGATTCCACAAACCACCTTGAGGTGTGTGTGCTCTCGCGCCTGTGTGCGGCCGTTTGGGGGCATATTGTTGTGCGATTTCGTGAGAGGGCGGGGGGAAAGGTGGCACAGAAACTTGCGGCCACCGATGCTGCCACCACTGCTGCTGTTTCAGGCACTTGTATGAAATGNCCTTTACTTCCCTCAAACCCGTCGCGCCGGGTCGACGTCTCACTTGCGATCGACTCGGCCGAGAGAGAGTTTTAGTTTTTTCGAGTGCCCCAACGTACTGGGCTCTGCTGCTGCTGCTGCTGCTTTGACTTCTCTTAGGTATCCATCCACCGCGTCCCCCTCGTGTTTAAAGCATTGATTCCACAAACCACCTTGAGGTGTGTGTGCTCTCGCGCCTGTGTGCGGCCGTTTGGGGGCATATTGTTGTGCGATTTCGTGAGAGGGCGGGGGGAAAGGTGGCACAGAAACTTGCGGCCACCGATGCTGCCACCACTGCTGCTGTTTCAGGCACTTGTATGAAATGGGTGTGTATTCCCAGAGAAGCAGCGAATTGAGTTTGGGGGTGGCTTCACGGTCCTCACCACCTTCTAAAACTTTATTTTTGTCCGTTCTCCCGCCGCCCAAACGGTTTTTACGCACGTGTGGAGCGTTGTTTAGCTTTGTTTTTCTGAGCGTTTTTTTTCTCACGTTTACTACACGACTAAGGTGTGTGTGGAGGAGGGAGATGGGCTTTGACTGCTGCTGCCGCCGCCGCCGCCGCCGCTGTTGTTGTTGTTCCATCTTGCTCTCTCCGTTTTGTTTAGCCGACTTGTTTTGTTCTCCGGTTCGTTTCTTTGTANATGAGGTGTGTGTGCTCGCGCGCGTGTGTGCGGCCGTTTGGGGGCATATTGTTGTGCGATTTCGTGGGAGGGCGGGGGGAAAGGTGGCACAGAAACTTGCGGCCACCGATGCTGCACCACTGCTGCTGTTTCAGGCACTTGTATGAAATGGGTGTGTATTCCCAGAGAAGTAGCGAATTGAGTGTGGGGCTGGCTTCACGGTCGTCACCACCTTCTAAAACTTTATTTTTGTCCGTTCTCCCGCCGCCCAAACGGTTTTTACGCACGTGTGGAGCGTTGTTTAGTTTTGTTTTTCTGAGCGTTTTTTTTCTCACGTTTACTACACGACTAGGGTGTGTGTGGAGGAGGGAGATGGGCTTTGACTGCTGCTGCTGCCGCCACCGCCGCCGCCGCCGCTGTTGTTGTTGTTCCATCTTGCTCTCTCCGTTTTGTTTAGCCGACTTGTTTTGTTCTCCGGTTCGTTTCTTTGTAGCTCTCGTTTTCTCTGTCCCATGTTGTTGTCTTGTTCAACTAGTCTACTGTGTGTGTGTTCTTTTTTTTTCTTGCTTCTGTCTTGAACTCGAGTGAGGGGGTCTCGGTTTGGGCCGGCCGGCGTGCGGTGGCACAAGGCAAACAAATTTAGGGATCACGGGAGCAGCAGCAGAAAGTACGACAGGATCAGTTAGCACTTACCGCGAGCTGTGTACACTTGGCAAACTTTGCATCATTTTATGTTGTCGGCTGTTTTGACAAGAGTAGTGTTGTGGTGCAGTTACCTGTATTTACTGGCAAATTTCGGTCCGGGAAGGGGCTCGAGAAGAGATGGGAATCAAGACCTTAGATTGGGGGAATACGATAATCATCGCGTGTTTTATTGATGTTGTAGAACGCTGCTCGTGACATGATTTCGTCATCTTAAGACAATAGTGGCACTTTCGTCTTGGTCGACAGCAATAGCAGCTGGAGCAGCAGCAGCATGTCACGGTTGATGTTTGCAGGGTAAGTGACAGGGCGAGCGAGCTAGGCTCCAAAAGGCTGCTTTTCGATTTCAAACTGCTACAAGGACGGCAAACGGCATGTCGTTTTGAGACTGACTATTGTGTTGATGTTTTGACCCTCGTATACTGTTTTTGGCGTTGTTCATCACCTGGTTTCCTCTCCTCCCCCCCAAGCATGTAATATCTACGCGGTTTCGCGAAGAAGGGTGCGTTAGGGTTCGCCATGCCCAAAGAGAATATATGATTACACGGCTATGACGGAGGATTGGTTTGCAGTATCTAGACCTTTCCCCCATTGTTCGGCTCCGCGAGAGGGCGGGTGTTGCTTTTGCTTGGATTTAGCCATCCCGCTTCAAAAGGGCGTTTTTATCGAGGCATCGAGGGTGGGTGGATGAATGTGGGGCGGGGGCGGTTGTACCACCTACCTTTTTCATCAAAAGAGCTTGTGGTCGCGGATCGGCCTTGCTGTAGTAGGGCGGGCAGGTAGTGGCATACGGCCGGGCGTAGAGGGGTGGCATTCATACTCGCAGTTCGATGGAGAGCCACATAGATGACTGCTGGTCCCTTTGATCCTGTCGTTGCTCTCTCCATCTCTCTCTGTCTATCCTGAGACAGACCGAACCCGGCGCCTCGTTTCGAATAGTCCGCGACGAACTAGTTGCTTCGCCAGTTTTTGGAACTTTGGTTTGCGTGTCGGTTGGTTTGGTTTATTTAGAATGTCGAGCAGGTAGTAGCAACACACGAGGTTCCTTTTCGACCACCCCCCCTGTTGATGTCGTGCGTGAGAGAACTGCAGTGGCCGTGGGAATACCATTTCAAGAGAGACTCCTATTGTTGTATTTTGCTCCATTCCCGTGGTGTCATGGCCCGCCCTCATTTCTAATGGATCGGCGGGTATCTGCCTTTTGTTATTTCATTTGCCTTGTCTGCCTGATGTGGCTGTGGTGGAAGTGTATCATTATTTTTCTCGGGCATTTGGGTATGAGCACGATGCGTGGATATGAGAAATAGAAAAGAGGGCGGGGGGGAGGGGGCGTCCGTCCATGGAGACGAGCATGCGTCGTCGGTCGCAGACAGACTTGGCTCCGGATAGTTGTGGCGACAGTTACGTCGCCTGTTGTGTTTCGTGTCCCTGTGTCTGCATGTGTGCGCTTGCTTGCTTGCGTTTTTGACACGAGCGAGTGGGTGTCAAGGCAACATGTATGCTTGTACCATTTACAACTCCCATCCGCCCCTCGCCCCCACCACCAGTGTGTCCCGGTCCCACACCGGTCATCGTTGGGTTGCTTGTGCTTCCAGGGACAACCCCTCACGTACATGAATGGACGGGACGTAGGGAAGGAAGGTCAGCAGGGGAAATAACTATCCGTCGGTGTCCCGTGTGCTGGAGGGGGTTGAGCTTGCCTGTTAATNGAGCTATCCGTCGGTGTCCCGTGTGCTGGAGGGGGTTGAGCTTGCCTGTTAATTTGGTTTATTTTTTGGGGTGTGCTTCGTTTGACAGCTCTTATCGCGAGCGAGAGTGATCGGACCAGTTTTGTACAACGCTGCTGTACACGTTGTCTATCTCTCCTTTTTTTTGTTTCTCTGCTGTTTTTTCATGTATGCATAATAGTACATGTATGATATACATATTTGTATGGTGCGTTACGTAGTGTGCTATTCCCCAGCGAAGAAAGATGAAGTATTGGTTACATTTTTCTCTCGGTGGGATGAGCTCCTGGAAGCGTTTTTTTCTCTTCTTTTTTATTTCAAGGGACGGTCNATTTACTTTTTGGGGTGTGCTTCGTTTGACAGCTCCTATCGCGAGCGAGAGAGAGTGATCGGACCAGTTTTGTACAACGCTGCTGTACACGTTGTCTATCTCNGTTTATTTTTTGGGGTGTGCTTCGTTTGACAGCTCTTATCGCGAGCGAGAGTGATCGGACCAGTTTTGTACAACGCTGCTGTACACGTTGTCTATCTCTCCTTTTTTTTGTTTCTCTGCTGTTTTTTCATGTATGCATAATAGTACATGTATGATATACATATTTGTATGGTGCGTTACGTAGTGTGCTATTCCCCAGCGAAGAAAGATGAAGTATTGGTTACATTTTTCTCTCGGTGGGATGAGCTCCTGGAAGCGTTTTTTTCTCTCTTTTTTATTTCAAGGGACGGTCTTGCGGCGCCAGATCGACCACGACCCACTTGCAGGGCTGGCAGCGCATGCACGCAACTCGGTGCGGCACAGAAAAAGCGAAAGACCAAGAGATTGGTTCCGTCCGTTGCTTCAAGGGAACGCGATGGGAGCAAGCTTTACTTCGTCGTTGTTGTGGTACTGTAGTAGAGCACAGTAGTAGTGTAGTGATGGTAGCGCCCGCGGTGATGACAGCCGTGGGAGTCGGCGGGGTGGCGAGAATTTCATTTCTTATGAGCTTCCTCTTTCGCTCGTTTTCTGGGAGAGAGGAAGACACTCATCATCATGTGGCGTGCTGCCGGTTGCTCCGCAGACAGACGCTCGGTCCTCTCCCCAAGACCCCTCCAACTAATGGTCCAGCAGCTAGCACGACCCCCGCTGTGTTGAAATGTTCCCAATCAGGACCTCCCCCCATTCGAATCGTCCGCCAATCAGGACCTTCCCCCCTCACGTTCCGGGTCGAGCTTTCGAGTTTTGCTCATGAAACGAAGCGTGACAACCACAAGCATACATTCTTTTTTGTAGCAACAAGTGTGTTTTCCATGGAAGAAGGTACGTCCGCACAAGAACCCGACTCAGAAGTGAAAGATGTGCCTCTATGCTTATTATACTGCTGTACCATGGTATGTACCACGGGTGTTGATACTCCTAGTGCACCGGTCGAGTCCCTCCAGAACACGCCACCTTCCGCTGAAGATCCTCTAAATCAAATACTAGTTTCTTGAAAGAAATATTTTCGTTTGTTTAAGAGGGGAGCGTGGAGGCATAGACTACATGTACTACGTGATATGCGGTCGGAGACAAGCAAGCCCCAAATCGCGGCTGGCTCTGGGCGGCAACAGTACAGAGGACGATTTCTTGTCTCGCAGCACTTGCCGATTTTGGTCTGATTGACTCGTTTGTGTGCAATTGATTTGCCGGGTGTTCCCTCGGTCGTTTTCGAAACCAATCACAGTCAAGAACGTCGATTGGCAGCCAACTTTACGTACTGCAGTCCAGGAGATAGACGCTGGCGCTTAGAGAAACGAGCTGGACGGTCCCGGGGCTTCAGCGCACGTGTAGTACTAGTGTGTGTGTTCGCAACGAAAATACTCGCATGGCCGAGAACAGTATAGCATGAAAAATAACAGGAGTCCGACGTTTTGCATATTGACTATGTAGGTTAAGATGAAGATGTTCTTATCACGCACGGGGAAGAATTTTCAGTGTGGCCAAAGTATTGGGTGGAGGGGGGCGGGGATGGCCATATTCATTATTCGTGAATCCGCTACGGAAGAGGTCAATTTTCCACCTCGTGTCTCGTGTGTAGAGTTGTTATTTATACGGTAGCTGCGCGCAGGACTGATGCTTCATGTATGTCGCATTTACGCTCACGCTAATGACGCAATTGTAACTAACCCAGCGATACCACGAAACAAGGTGATGGGAGTACTTGCAGCACCGGCAACGCCTCTATCCTACTGCGTGCGGGTTTGATGCGGTATTTTAAAGGAAATTATTATTTTTTTGGGTCCGAAACTGTCAATTCACCAATTCTGTAACCGTTTGAAAAAGACAGATATGAAAAGGCAGCTTGGGCTCTGTGCGAAGAAGAAAATAATGTCACTTCTGTGTTGAACTCAATCCAAACACCTCGCCACAATCACCAGCAACAGCATACAGCTGAATGAAGGTGTACACCGCTGCTAGGTTTTAGCCCAGCGTGGCACGTACAGTAAACTACATCGAGCCATGGCGTCTTCCAGCGCCACCAACCATCTCCACCGAGGGAACGTGGTGTTTGAAACAACCCCAGGGAGGATATTTCGCCGTTTGACGGAAATACGGCGCATGTCCGTCGTTGGCAGCCTCTCTTTCGCTTCACGATGCATGCACGAAGCTGGCTTGGGAACGGTTTTCCCCGAAATGGAGACTGCATCAGCTGCTGCTCGGGACACTCCACTTCTTCCTCGGACGAGGTCGCCGCACGCGAGAAGCTGGTGAACGATTTCAAAGAAAATGATACAGACAAGCTGTCACGTGTTTACTCTTACAAACCTCGCCACAATCCACGCACAGCTGAAGGGATGCAGCTGCTACGAGGCAGGCATTGCCGGCATACCCGCCCCCGCCAAAGCACGTTCCTCTTGTGTACATTTAGACGCGCTAGGACCAACCGACATTTATCCCAATGATATCCTAGTACAGTTGGCGCCAACTGTAGTATTATCTCGATGGGGTATTTTTTGTTTGTCCGAGGTTCGTCCCTTCGTCTCCTGGTGTTGTTTTCGTGACATGCGACAAGATGGATAGATAGGTATTCTGCAGTACATCTCGCGTTGATAATTTTCTGAGTCATTTTTTTTCCCGTCTTTTTGGGTACATCGTTGACCTGTGACCACGGAAGGAAGGCGTCCGCGTATGTTGGCCCTGTGCGGATCCGTTTGAAGGATCTGGCCGGAGACTGGAAGTGTGGTATTTTGAGACATCAACATGACCGATTCTTTTCCCGTCAAACGTCGTAACAACAGCAGAGCGGTCGATATTTTTCGTTGTTGCTATCTGCAACTCAAAGCGCACAGGAGCAGCGTGATACGCCATGACACTCCGTCACCAACAAAGCGCACACTTACTTGCTGAGCGTGCCGAGTTGCTGATGAGATCAAGATCAAACAACCACAGTTTGGAATACTGGTGATATGACGGGTTGTAAGCCGGTAACTACCGTCTTATGACGGGTTCTTGGTTGTTCGTGAAAAAAAAGAAGAGAGATCCTGCGAGACCACTCACATTTTCCCCACTCCCACCTCACCAGCAGCAGCAAGCTCCATCCAGCTCCCAATCCCCATGACGACCACAACAAACCGAGCAAGATGGGCACCTCTCACAGCGGCCTCCTGGGTGTGTGTGCTGACGGTCGTCCCGCTCTTCGATGGTTGATGATCCCCGCCACATGTAGATGCCTCCGTCCCTCCCTGCCCCTGAATTACCACCATGTAAATAGACAACGTCCTCCATCGAGCGCCCACCAGATGGACCAGCGCCCCAGGACCCCACCACCGCGCAGCACAAGCAATCTCGTCCTCTCTCTCCGGTGTGCCAGAGCCCGATTTTGCCCGTGGCGGAGGCAGGCCTTCGGCAGACAGAGCACCTGTTTCCAACGGAAGCTAGCACAAAGCCGGCGGAGGGTTGAGGAGGTGAGCGGTCAAAAAAGATACCGTAGAGTTTGCCCTTAGATCTCTCAGAGTTGTGTAATGTCCCACACCCTCTTCATCCCGGCGTTGAAGGTTTGGCTGCGAAGAAGGAAGAGGCACACCATCATCACCACTTTCTGCGTTGTCGACGTCCTGTCCTTTGGTGGGGGAGGGTGGGCATGGCCCGAGGGTACGTAGATTATCATCCGCTCTCAAGGTCTCCGAGAAACAAAGAGAGCAAAAAAGTCTTTCCATCCACAAGAAGGGTCGACAGAGTCGGAAATGGCCGCGGCATGCGGTGGTAAATAGCTGCTCTGCATACATTCATCCGTAACAAACTACAAGAGCAGGATCCTTGGCCACTCTGCCCTATGTAGTCAGCCTTGTTGTTGGTGGCGAAGAGTGGTCGTACAAAGGAAGGTGCGCCAAGAAGCAGATGATGGCCTAGACTACGTGAAAAAGGCACACAGCAGCTAGCGCCGCGCCCTTGTGTGTGATTTACTGCTGGCTGTCGTTGAACCAATTGATCCTCCGATCTGGTGTGGCCAGTCGCATGTCAGCATCCAATCTTCAGACGTGCTGCCGCCCGTTTCGCCATGCCCCTGTTCTCCTCTCTCTACCAATTTCACCGAACAGGAGTCGATGTCAGGTCCTCACGCCGAAATCCATGCTCTGTTCTGCTGCCGGATTCTCCATTTCTGCAACCTTGATCCTCCATTTCTGCAACCCTGACCCTCGGACGATCCACGCAAAAAACCAAGCAAGTCATTTCCCAAGCCCTGGTGACTGAGATGGGCCACCCGATAACGAGAACTGACAGACAGCCCGTTCGCGTTTCCGTGGTAAGCTCCCGGCCGCGTCTCTAGAAGCCAAGCAGTTCACGCTCCGTGTCTCCATGGCCCGTAGCCGCTCTCAGCCGATGACAGAGAGTACAGCAGGCAAGGTAGATTCGTGCGTACAGAGATGCTCTGGACAGGGTGGTCCAGGTCTACTCGCGGATCCGGGCTGTTCAGACCGCACTGCTGTGTGTGTGTTCTCAACGTTCTCGCACGCCTTTCGGCAACGGTGCTGACCTGCCGAATCTTGAAGCAACCAGAGGCAATGTCGTATAGGTTAGGTTCCCTTTGATGTATTGCGTATCCATCCATGCTTGTTGAAAGGTGAACCACACACCAGGGCTCTTGATTGGACTGCGAGAGGGCAGAGGCGCCGCGACACGTTCAAACTTGAAACAATTCCGCCGCATTGCTCCGTGTTCCGCGTTCCGCGTTCCCACATGCCGGTCACCATCCTCTCTGCCCAAGACAATACAAGCAAAGGTCGGGGTGCTGCGCCAGCAGGGGTGGCCTCGCGAGATCATCTTCCTTGCCCGTGATGTAAGAAAAGGGTAGTGCGGACCTGATGGCCACTGATGGGTGGCATGCATGGCGCTTTGCAGAACAACCTCTGCGAAAGAGACCACATCGCAGTTTGTCCCGTGTACAACAACTGCTGTAGGTCGTGCGGGTTGAAATCTACGAAATCTTCGTTGTTAATGATGATCGACCATGACCTCAGTAGTAGCACCTATCGACGATCTTCTACTTCTTCTATACTGCTGTAGTCTGCGTCTTGTCTAGACGCCGTTTCTACCTAATGTACTGGGTTTGCTGATGGTGTATGGTGCTGCACCGGACATGTATGCCAACTTCGGCACTTGTACAACGCCCCGGCATCTATGCATAGACTACACGCTCGCTTTCTCACTACGAGGCTGCCCTGTATTGGATGTGCTGCTGAAACTATTAGTCTAGTCTAGTCTGTTGCTGCTGTATTTTCATTTTTGGTCGCTGTTGTCATGGTCTACGAGCTGACCCATCGTTGTATCCAGGGCCTGCCCGTGACGGACAAAAGCTGGGGTAGAAATTACTACTCTACCGGCACGCTTAACTCACCACGAAGCTGGCTTGGGGTGCGCAACCTATCAGTCACTTCATAGTTCTGTCCGACGACTCGGTAGCACACAAAGGAACCATTCATTGTTGTAATGGATTCTTGCTCCCAAGAACGAAGCTCCTTACAATGCAGTGAAAATGTTACCATCAGCCAACATTGATGTGCCGTACATTACGACTAGGCAGCACTCGTGTAGAGAGATCACTCGCCTCTTGATTGGTGCGCTCAGGGGTGGCTACACATCTCCCCACGTTACAACTCGTTTAAGCTTCGTGGCGTGTATTCAATTGTTGCGCTGTCCAAGCCAAGCTACACATAATGGACATGAACACTCGAAATGCCAGTAGGTGGACATGGTCATTATTTTGCGAAGCTAAAGTATTCGTGGTTCTGGTGTATTTGAACCGCCAAGTGATACCTGGCATTATGGACGGATGGGGGACAAGGGGGGGGGGGGGGGGGGGGGGGGGNACCACACACCAGGGCTCTTGATTGGACTGCGAGAGGGCAGAGGCGCCGCGACACGTTCAAACTTGAAACAATTCCGCCGCATTGCTCCCTGTTCCGCGTTCCGCGTTCCCACACATGCCGGTCATCATCCTCTCTGCTCAAGACAATACAAGCAAAGGCCGGAGTGCTGCGCCAGCAGGGGTGGCCTCGCGAGACCATCTTCCTTGCCCGTGATGTAAGAAAAGGGTAGTGCGGACCTGATGGCGACTGATGGGTGGCATGCATGGCGCTTTGCAGAACAACCTCTGCGAAAGAGACCACATTGCAGTTTGTCCCGTGTATAGTCTAATAGAACTCTAGTTGTGTTGGTCGTGCAGGTTGAAATCTACGAAATCTTCGTTGTTAGACTAATGATGATCGACCATGATCTCAGTAGAAGCACTATCGACGATCTCCTACTTCTTCTATACTGCTGTAGTCTGCGTCTTGTCTAGACGCCGTTTCTACCTAATGTACTGGGTTTGCTGATGGTGTATGGTGCTGCACCGGACATGTATGCCAACTTCGGCACTTGTACAACGCCCCTGCACCTATGCATAAGACTACACGCTTGCTTTCTCACTACGAGGCTGCCCTGTATTGGATGTGCTGCTGAAACTAATAGTCTAGTCTAGTCTGTTGCTGCTGTATTTTCATTTTTGGTCGCTGTTGTCATGGTCTACGAGCTGACCCATCGTTGTATCCAGGGCCTGCCCGTGACGGACAAAAGCTGGGGTAGAAATTACTACTCTACCGGCACGCTTAACTCACCACGAAGCTGGCTTGGGGTGCGAAACCTATCAGTCATTGTTCTGTCCGACGACTCGGTAGCACATAAAGGAACCATTGATTGTTGTAACGGATTCTTGCTCCCAAGAACGAAGCTCCTTACATTGCGGTAAAAATGTTACCATCAGCCAACATTGACGTGCCGTACATTACGACTAGGCAGCACTCGTGTAGAGAGTTCAGTCGCCTCTTGATTGGTGCGCTTGGGCGTGGTTACACATCTCCCCACGTTACAACTCGTTTAAGCTTCGTGGCTTGTATTCAATTATTATTATTATTTTGTTTGCCCTCCGACAATTGCAGATAAATGCAGACATGCATAAAAAGTCGATCGTAAAGGCCGTCATGCCAAGCCAAATTAACTCGATGCCCAATAGCTAGGAATGTTTGCCTCTAAGTCAACAAAACTTTTGTCGAAACACTACGGCTGAACTCTAGGCACGAACCTTAGATGGAGAAAAACGAACAAAACCCCAACCTCATCCACCCGAAATCAAACAAAACTCGGCCCCGTCTTCCCTGGTACCCCTGACACCGTACTGAACAGAAATCCGCTTTCCACCGAAGTGGTTAGGTTAAAGCTGTCGCACGCATATTTCGGCGCGCAAAAGTCTGTGCGGCATTGCTGATCGATA